GGCTTAGCATATGGTGGAAGCAAAGGGCAAAATTCCAATGGTTAAGAGACGGTGATGCTAACTCCAAGTTCTTCCATGCTTATGCTTCAGCAAGGAGAAATGCTAACAGGATTAATTATGTGAAAAATGAGGAAGGATTAATTTGTGAAGACAAGCAAAGTATTGAAGAAGTATTTTTCAATTTCTTCAGCTGCAAGTGGAAGGCTAGGAGTTGCAATTTAAACGGGTGGTCAGCTTCTTCAAAAAAACTGGATGAGGAGGATTATAAAATTCTTTGTAAGGAATTCACTTTGAAAGAGTTGGAGGACATTATTACAAGCTTGGGTCCAACATTTCTCCAGGTGTTGATGGCATCACATATTCGTTTATAAAATCCTATTGGTCAATCATAAAACAAGATGTTTGGGCTGATATTAAGGAATTCTTTATTTTGGGATCTCTTTGTCCAGTTTGGAAAGAAACCAATGTGGTATTAATTCCCAAGGTAGATTCTCCTATGACTCCTGCTAATTATCGTCCTATCAGCATGTGTAATGCTATCTATAAAATAGTGGCTAGAATGATTTTGAATAGGATGAGTTTTGTGTTCCTTAAAATCATTTCCGTTGAACAAAATGCTTTTATTAAGGGACGATCTATGTCAGACCAAATTCATCTAGCTCAAGAATTGTTTAACAAATTTAGACATTCTAGAGCTAGGAAAGGTTTGGTAGCTATCAAAGTTGATATGGAACAGGCCTATGACAGTATGTGTTGGTCTACTCAGGAAAAAGTGATGGATTGGTTTGAGTTTCCAAAGGCTTTTTCAAAATTAATTTTGGAATGTGTAGTTAGTCCAAAACTTTCCATTTTGATTAATGGCAAGAGTTCAAAATGGATAGAGGCCGAATGTGGATTTAGATAAGGTTTCCCTTTGTCTCCTTTCCTTTTTATCATGTCTTCTCAATTGTTGACGGAAGAATTTGGAAATGTTGGAAAGAAGATTGGTTTTAAAGTCAATCCAAATGGTCCTATTATCTCTCATTTAATGTATGCTGATGACACTATGATTTTCTCTAGAGCTAATAAGAAATGTATGAAGAAGGTGAACAAAATCTTGAAGAACTATTGTAGTTGGATAGGACAGAAGATCAACTTGAATAAATCTGCGATTTTAATTAGTAAAATAATGAAGAAATGAGTAAGAAGAGCCCTGCTCAAGGTGATTAACATAAATATGGTTAAAGAAATGGAGTATTTGGTAGTTAAGATTGCTCTTAGAAGATTGGTCAAGACAGATTTCAGCAAAATCATTGTGAAGACAACAGCTAAAATCAATATTTGGGGTACAAAATTCATTTCACTTGCAGGTAAAGTTTCTTTGATAAAAGCTTCAGTTCTTTCTTTACCGACTTATCTATCTAGTCATTCTTTGATCCCTTTGGGGACATTATTTGAAGAGGAGAAAATGTGTAGATATTTTCTATGGAATAAAAGAAATGGGAGTTATGGAATGCATTATGTTTCTTGGAGCGCTTTGTGAAAACCAAAAAATAAAGGAGGCTTTGGTTTACAATCATTGGTAGAAAGGCTGGGACCTTTGAGGTCTAGACATGCATTGAATTTTATTATTAATCTGAATTCTCTTCTCAATAAAGTCTTAAGAGCCAAGTATGGAAATGTATCCTGGAATGGTGCTAATAGTAGTGGTTGCTCTTCAACTTGGAAAATAATCCAGAATGGTGCTGAATCTTTGTTACCTATAATGAGATGGTCAATATCAAATGGAGAGTATGTTGACACTTTCAAAGTTATGTGGATTCTGGATAAAACTTTGGACAAATGGCCTACGTTTGTAACTGTTATCGATCCAGATTTTAGCCAAGTTGCGGATTTTATTACAGGAGGAAGGTGGGCACTTGAGAAATTGAAGCTCTATTTTGGAGAAATTCTAATTGAATTAATCAATTCAATTCCTATTCATTCAAATAAAATAGAAGACAAGATGGAATGTATAAAGAAGTTAACACGTAAATCTATAGCTACAATGGTCTATGAGAAAAAATTTGAAGATATTAGTGAAGATGAAGAATTTAAATGGAGAAAGAAACTTAAGCTAAAACCGATAGAAATGTTTTGGTGAAGATTAAGCAAAAATGCCATTCCAACTTTTGCATATCTGTTATATAGAAGGCTTACGGAGCATGGAGGTTGTCCGAGAGGCTGCTTGGACACGGAGGATACAAAGCATGTTACTTCCAGATGTTTTTAATCAAAAGGGTATTGAAATGGCTTGTTGATTGGCACTTTAATATACCAGAATTTGATTCCATAGCTGATTGTCAGATTTTGTTTAATTTGGCTTCTTCTAATCCTTTTTTGGGAAATCTACTTTGTTCTATGATTTTCTACTGCTGGAATAGTAGAAATAAAATAGTTCATGGAGGTGTAGACGATAGTTGTTCTACCATTGCTTCAAGATCTATTGTTAAGACGGTATCTTCATTTGATTCTTGGTTAATTCGGGAAAATTGGGATGCTAATCAGCTGTTTAAGCTGTCTCAATCCTCTTGGCATCCTCCTCCCCCGGGTTGGATCAAGGTAAATATAGATGCTTCAGTTTTTCATAACAACAGTACCGGCATTGGAGGAATTTTCAGGGATTGCAAAGGCCTAGGAATAGCTGCTTTTGGAATTCATTGTCTTCATTGGGATAGTGCACAAATGGAGCTTTTAGCTATTCTTGCTTTCATAAATTATATATAGGATTGGATGCTTGAAGCTAAAGGTACAGTAATTGAGGGTGACAATTCAAATGCCATCAAGATCTTTCAAAATGCCTTTAAAAAACCATTGATTAATGAAGATTTTCTAAAGCCAAAGGACATAGATTTTCTTCTTAACTTTAAGCATTTCTACTTTTCTTTTGGTAATAGAAATTGTAATAAGTTAGCTCATTTTGGTGCTAACTATGCCCATTTTTCATCCTTCTTTTGGGATGATTTTTCTAGGGATTGAGTTCCTCCTTCATTTTTAGATTTGTTGAAGGAGGAATCTTCTTGTAAGTAATTGGTGGGTAATAATAATCATTGTTATTTGCACTTTTCAAAAAAAAAAAAACATGGTACCCCAGCATAAATGAGTGGCGAGTAGCTCTAATGACTAAATTTCTCCTATTAGGTCAGTGATGAGTCATGAGAACCGTGAGGCCCCTTGATTTCCCTTTTGTGGGGCTACTTCCATTCACACTTCTTCTGAGTGTGATTTCATCATTTTTTAGAAAACTTCAATGACACGTATAACCAAGGCTGTGAAAACCGGACCGGACAACGAACCGGAAGAAGGAGAGGTTCACGGTTCGACCGGTTCAACCGGTCTAACCGGGGTCGAACCGGATGACGTAATAAATAATAAATATTATTAAAATTTAATAAAATTAACATAATAATAATATTATCATTCAAAGTTTGAGACAAAAAATTAAATTAAAAAAAAAAATAAAATTTTATTATTAACTAATAAATAAGTTTCATTTACATAAAAAATAATTAATTAAAATTTTTATTTAAAAATAGTTTTTATATGCATTATATATGTTATGAGTTCATTTACATCTCAACTCTTTTCTTTAGTCCCACACCACTTGAGAAGACTTTCTTGCTAGTGTTTACATAGCATTTTGAGTTCTCTTGTGTTAAGAGCTCACATGGTACCACCACTCCATGTGAAATGCTTCATGATGATTGGAGATAAATGTTTTATAATAAAAGATATATTATTATTAATTAAATTTTTTAAATATATATGTTAATTTATTTATTTAAAAAATATTTAAAATTTTTTAAACCCTAAACCCTAATAATAGTGTGTTTAATTTAATTTAAGAGTTTTAATATTAATATTTATATTGATAATGATTAAGTTTAATATTTATTTAATATTATATAATTTATTTAACTAATATTAATAAAAAAACTTGAACCGGCCGATTTTAAAAAACCGGGACCGGTTCACCGGTTGAACCGGCGGTTCTACCCAAAACCGGCCGGTTCAATGTGAAGGCGGTTTTTAGATTGGACCGGACCGGCCCTTAACCCGGTTCACGGTTGAACCGGCCGGTCCGGTCCGATTTTTAAAGCACTGCGTATAACTATTACATCCATGAGTATTAATAGCTAGGTGTTTACTCTTTAACGATATAATGTGCGTCTGCATATTAACTTTTTTATAATTTCCCACTATTTTAAAAGCTAGTAAAATTATGCAAATTTATCTATATGAACTATATTCATATATATTAAACTAAAATGAACTTTCAGAAAATATTTTTAAAAATTGTAGACTAAAATCTGTTTGATTCAACAGAAAATAGTTATTTTATGTCAAAATCTCAAAATTTGAATTTACTTCCTCGGTCGAATATGCCCACTTAACGTCTTAAGGTAAACATAGGGGTAATTTAGACATTTCATTTTAGTTCAAATAATATTCTTACAATGTGACCGTTGCACAACGTTCAAAAAATAATATCTTGACCTCACGCTGTTCTCGGATACATACATTCGCCTAACCGTCGATTAGCTAAAAGAATTGCGATCTAAGAAGCGCACGACTCCTGTCAGTTTCCAAAGAAAGCTCAATCTTCTCGCGCTCTTCTTGAACTACCAAAACCGGGATTAATTCAAGAAAACAAGGTGAGTTCCCTAGATCCCTAGCCGAAGATATGTTTTTGTATCCTGAAAGAGAATCAAACGGGTACTTTCGTTTTCCTATTCTCTAGAGAAGTTGAAATATTCATCGCGTTCGACATTACTCCTCAATTGATTTGATTTTCTTTCAGTAAATTTGTCCAAAACTAGAGTATGAATTTAAAGATGATTTACCATATTACATGCTCTCTCTCTCTCTCTCTCTCTCTCCCCCCCCCTTTTGGGTATGATACCCCCCCCCCCCCCTTTTTTTCTTCTTTTTTTCTTGTCAGCTTGAGAATTTTTACTAAATTTTCCTTCTGTTGAAGAATCATGGGTTCATTAGTGCCTGGGATTCTTCTGAAGCTCTTAGATGGCATGAACGCTGGAACCATAAAGCCTGTGGGTGAGCACCGGAGTGCTCTTCTTCAAGTGACCGACATTGTTCCTGCTGACCTTGACGAGAAGGATCTCTTGCCTAAACATGGATTCTATATCAAAGTATCTGATTCCTCCCAGTCAATTTACGTCACATTAACCCCTGATCAAGATGACCTCGTTCTCAGCAACAAGATCCAGCTAGGTCAGTTCATCTATGTTGATAGATTGAGGCCAGGGAACCCTGTGCCTGTCATCTATGGTGTGAAACCACTCCCAGGAAGGCATCCATTTGTAGGCACCCCTGAGCCAATTGCTCCTATTAGAAGTCCTGGAGAAAAATCAGATTTTAAAGGTGAGAAATCTAGGAAAAGGGCCTCATGGGAATTAAAGAAAATACATCCAATTGATGCTTCTTCTCCATTGGTTGTTAAGCCAACAACTTTGGATTTTGAAGCACGTACTCCAACACCGGTGAGGATGAGCTCTAAAACGGGGAAAATATGCAGCTTTAAATCTTCTGTTAGTGAAGTTCTGTCCAAAATGGCAGAGTTAAGGGAATCTGGTTCGGGATTGATAACTAAAAGTTGTGTAGGGTCAAAGCTTCCAAAGGGAGGAAACACTTCAGGGAAGGAGTCGATGATTGGAATGAGCACCCTCTCTACGGTTTCTTTTTTTTCCTTATTTTGGTTATTCTGATTTCTTGTAGACTCCATACATTTCAAGGACTGATTATCATCCTAATCATTCCTCAGGAGAAGAACTTGCTTTTTTGTTCATCTAGAGTCAGAATAAAAAGAATGGGCGAGTCAAATGACTCTAGAAATAAAGCCAGCGAACGCTTGAAGATGCCTGCAAAGCTTAGCCTTCTCCAGAAGGTATAGTTTATAATCCCCACTCTTCAGGTTATAATATTTGTATCAGAAATAGGCGAAATTTCATTATGAGTTGGTTGAATTTAGGAGGCAATGATGAATAGAGAAACTGCTCAAAAGCTTGCACTCCAAGCACTAAGAGATGCTTCTGCTACAGAGAATCTTTTCCGTGTGATCAAGTATGATGCTTATTTCTCTCCCCAACATTTCGTTTGAAATTTTCAACTGATCCAAATTTTGCAGGTTGTTAATTAATGTTTCCCTGCATATTTGTAGGATATTCTCAGACTTGATTACGATTGCAAGGCTAGATTCCCCTGACACTGTTTTTGATCAGTACCTCCACTTCCACGAAGAGATCATGCAGGCTGTGCTTGATATGGAGAAGATTCAAGCAGCAACGCTAACTTCCATGGAAAGTGAAATGGAAATTGAGGAACCGTCCATCTTTCAAGAGATCTCAAATAATATAAATTCTTCCAAGAGGAAAGGGTCTGATTTAAAACCAAGTACTGGTAAACAACTAATAGCAAATCCAACCACTAAGACTTTTACTGAGAGAAAAATAGCATATGCAATTAATATGGATCAGAGAAATGCAGAGCTTCCTACCAGCCTAAGCAGCTCTATTAAATTGGCCAAGGAGGTGCAGGCAGAAGCTGGAAATTGGTTCATGGATTTCCTGGAAGAAGCATTAGATTCAGGAAAGATGAAGGGAGGAGGAGACAGGGGACTGAGGCAAGGTAAGTATCCGCAGTCACTACTGTTGAAGGTTATCAACTGGGTAGAGATGGAACAAAGCGATGGTAGAAAGAAGCCAGCTCACCCTAGGGCAACATTTGTAGCAAGAAAACTCAGAATCAAAGCAAAGAATCCTTAAGTATGAGAAATCTAAGGTTTTGTTACATTAAACCCTTTCGGTATGAGATGTTAGCCTAAAATGTGAATTTGGGTTGTATTCATTCTTTTTTTACCTTATATCCAGGCTTGCAATACTGCAATAATTTTATAGAGGCTCATGTAGTTAGAAGTCCAGTTCATCATTTTTTCAATATCAGCAATGAATTGTCATCCTCTCCGATTTATTATAAAACTTATTGCATACAATTCGTTCACACTAAGGATGGGGAAATAGGGAGGCCTTGCCATTGAACAAAAATTTGTCCAATAGCTAGTACAATTTTATGGCCTAAAAAAATATTTAAACCTGAAAACATATATGTATTCACAGTTTAGTGATTTTGAGTTAAACGCCAATACATATATTTACATGTTATTTAATGAATCATGAGCTTTGTGCATAGTGAATGATGCAAGAGGATAATGAATCAGATATTCTTAAAGATAACAATATTTCAGTTAGATGCAAAAATTTAAAGAATAGACAATGCAATCAAACTATAGTGGTTTGGCCATCCCATGAATTATGTGTACTTCCCGAATCCTCTTGAGAATAGATAATGAATATAAATTGTCATCCTTCCTGAATTGTTATAGTAGTTAATGCATATAATTACTTCACACATCATGAACAAAATTTTGTCCAATAGCTATTCCAAACATCATGGCCTCAAAAATATTTAAATCTGAAAAACATATATTTACCACCCTTTAGTGATTTGAGAGTAACGACACGTTCTAAGATAAAAATAAGGCAGTAAGATGCAAAAGTTTAAAGAATACAAATTGCATACCAATCTATAGTAGTTTGGCCTTCTCATGAGATGTGTGTTCTTCCGGAGTCCTCTTGAGAATTTCACTATTCTCCTTTGCAATAATGGGAGGAATAACATTCTTGCAATATCACAAAGCACTAGCTCATCTTCTAAGACTACAACATTTCTTCTTCAAGTTAACGAACTACCCACTCGAAGCACAACTCACTAGAGAATGACTTAGAGGAAAGAAAACAAAACATGAGATATTAAATCTTAACTTTTTAATCTAGCACATAAAGCTCTCACATTGTATTGCAAGTAGACGATCAAAAGCTTCGTCAAATTTTTTTCCGTAAATTACAATCCTATGAATTGTTATGGGTATTTTTTAGCTTAAGTTAAAAATGACCTTTATTAACATTTTATCCGCTAAATTACATGATAACATAAAATTATTGTCATTTATTATAAGTCTAAATTTATAAAACCTCTAGATGATCAAACTAAATGATCAAATTACATGTTTTATCCATTCAATTTACTATGGATCAAGGACATCAAAACATATTATCACTATCATAAGGTATATTCATATGTGGCAGAGGTAACCATCTCAATTAATCAGTCATAATGGCTAAATATTAGTTAGATTAGCTAAAGATCTTGCATGATGACTTTGATCATGTTGTAAGATCTAGATCATTAAGTTTTATCTTGATGGGTAATGTTGAACAAACAAACCTTGATCTGCAATGTAATCTTATATTTAACTGTTTTCACTTGGCAAGTGTTCAGGTCATTTAACAATGTAAAAGCTTTTACAAAGTTTTTGCAGCACCAAAAAGAAAATTACAGTATAATCTTTGATGAAGCATAAAGTTGGCAAATGCATGCACTTAAGTTAGCCGGTGTTGTTTTGCTTCACTTTGAGTCACGATTATTGTAATTTTAATTTAGAGTTTGCATTTTAGAGTTTGTTAATTTCTAGCATCCTTTTTGGGATTCCGATGCATTTACTCACTTAGAAAAATTATCAACAACTATCCAATTATGTTTGTAATTATCAATATAGGTTGAAGACTAAATCTCATGGTGTTAACAATCTTTATAACATACATATTTATGTTATTTAAATATTGATCTCTTAATTGTGTAAATGGAATGGTAATTTTGAGTTTGATGAAGATATATCCTTTGTTTTTTATCTATTTCATTTACAAGGTGACCCCGTTATGTGATGATTACTAGGGGAGGTATATTTTCTGGCACTTGTCCTAAAATTATTAAGTTGTACCAAGTTCTTTAGTTGTTATGCATACGAGGCTTTGAATTTGGCCATATAACAGATAGTTATGAAATATGTTGGATGAAAATATCAATTGATAGCTTTTCTCGCATTGGAACAATTTTAACCACAATCACATCTTGTCCTCCTCAATCCCCTTTTAATCCATCCTAGCTTGCATCGTTGACCTCAATGAACACTTTATCAACCTTTGAAATCCAATAGGCAATCACAACTTCTTTTATTACCTTTACTCCTCGTTGTGATAGTTTTTCATTATTATCATAATTATTCTAAGCTTTGGGACCATCATTCTCATATGATTTTATAACAAAACAACATACTCATTCTATTTTTTACTCACCAAATTTGTACTACCTTTTATGATGTTTGGCCTCTTGTTGGCCTACCACCTTCCACAAATAAGCTAATAGGTGGCACTAACCATTTTGACTGCTCACCACTTAGCAGAGATCATTGGATCAACATACTTCCCCCTTAACATGTGTAGAAGGCTTACTGATTGAATGATCCCTTCCTTTAAAACTCAACATTTATTATTCTAATATTTTTCATAATTTATTAATAATTTTGTATTCATTTTAATTTTCTCTTGTCTAAATATAGATGTAAATTTATTTACGTAACAAACAATATAAGATAATTCAATGAAGATATACTTTTTTGTTCCAATTCTGTCTTTGATGTGAAATTTAAACCAAGCTACAGTAATGGTATGCAATGTTTGAATTTATTAAATGTCAAATTAGCATTTATTAGTAAAAAGTAGTTGTGGGGTTTAATGATTTACAACAATGGTAAAAGACATATAAGGGTAATGCAATGACTAATTAGATCAAAGAAATTACAATAGAAAGATTAATGCAAGCAATTCTTTTTTCATAATATTGTGGAAAAATAAATCATCATTTAGATTCACGTGAAACTCTTATTTTTTGTGGCATCGAATCCTGCATAGAGGATATCTTATCAAATTAAAAGACATGCGATTCTACAATGGATTCAATGACAAAAATAAGATTATGAATATTTACTATTTTGATAATTAAACTTGACAAAGTGAATAGACTATAATCTTAAGAGACAAACATGAAAGTTTATAATGATGTTAAAAATAAGAACAAACTTTGATAATTTTACCATTTCTATATTCAAATATTATAAAGAGAATAGCATATCATCTTAAAAGATGAGCATGCCAATCTAAAATTGTATGAAAAAATAGAAATTGAGTTTTATAAAATAGTTTATGGCCTAGAGATTTTTCCCCTACCTTAAATAATTAAGATAGAATTTTTTTTATTAGGGTTGCAAACTCCCTATAAAGGCAAGCCTCTAAGGCTAATCATATTTCAAGAGGGAAAACTATCAAGATAACTCTAGATTAAAATATTAATTAATATATCTAAATTTTAGAAATTCAACCAATGATTAGAAGTCAAGAATCCACAAATATTATTAGATGAAGATTGAACAGCGCTTTTTGGAGATAAAGGATAAGACGTAGAGAATATTACAATTCTAAAATACTCAAAAGTGTCCAAGTCTATTATATGTTGTGTGACACCTCCAATTCAACATTTGGTTCAAACAACTCTGACCTGACTAAAGAAAAAAAGTATGTTTTTAAATTTTTGAGTTTTGAACCCCTTTTAAATATCTTTGGGAGTGTTTTGGTGCATAAGAATAATTATGTGTGTTATGAAAGGAGTTCTTAATGTATGGAGTTAATTTTTGAAAAATTTATTATTTAAGCACCCAATGTTGGGTGTTTGAGCACTCAACACTGCTATAGTACCAGTTGCTAAATAGTGGCATTACAGTGCACCCAGCTTTAAAATTTATGATGCGGCGCTAGGTTGTAGTGATGTAGCGCTAGGTCACCAACAACACTTTAGTTATATTTTTTAAAATCATTGTTTATCACAACTAGTCACGAGGAGAGAGAAGAAAGGTTTGGAGAGTGAAAAGTGAGTTTTTGATCCACTTTAGCTCGGTTGGGAAAGTTATATGGATCGAGATAGGTTATGTTTTACCTACCTTAGTTTTCAAAAATATAAAGTTTTTTTCTCAAAATTTTTGATTAAATTTATATTTTTGTTACTGAAAAATAAGTAAATTTTTTTGTACTGGAAAAACCTATATTATAGCTTTTTATATGTTATAAAGACTAAGATTATGAATATTTTAAATATTTTTTAAAAAATTTTTACCATGTATTTTGAAAATTATGCAATTTTCATTGAATAGAAAATAATCTATACACAAAAATAGTGTTGTAGTACAATTAATGTCTAAAAATGATATTTTACACAATCATTGGTAGTTTGATTATATTTTAAAACTATAAAACTTTACTCGGTTGGAATTTTTATTAGCTACCTGATAAGTATAAATAATGTTATATTTAATGTATTTTTATCTTAATGTGTTATTTTAATTATTTGTGTGTATGAAAAACTAAAATATGATAGAAAATATTAAGAAGAGTACAACATTGTTGTGTCCGACAATTCCATGCCATAGCGCCACTCTACACCATTAAGGCATCACACATGGACATGGCAGCATCATGTTCATTGTCTTCAAATGTCTCAGTGTCAAATGGTCATCTTGGATGCACTATGTTCTTCGACTTTAAGAATTGTGGTGGCACAATCTATTATGTATTAGTGCCAAATCATCCATAAAATTGCCACAACATAAAGAAATCATTAGTGCCACGACATTGCAATTGTAACTTCTAAGGGACATGATCTGCTAGCAAAGCGATATGATTGTTCACTAAGTAACTATTCCATATCAGTAAACACAGTGGTGGTTCAGAAGTTCCAGTGCCGAAGTATTAATACACTTCTAGGGCGTCACGATGACACTCTTTCAAGAGCCGCAGGGCGTCACGATGTCACACTTTCA